TCAGTGTAGTTGCCAAATTAAATATAGGTAAATTTATATAACAACTTTATCCTTAGGTCATTAGTCTCCCGGAGAAGGATCACATTTATATCTTATAAAATCATAATAGATTCAAAAGAAAGCCTCAGTAAGATCACAATTAGACCTCAAGATTGCAATTAAATCTCATTATCACAATAGACTTGGTAGAAAGTTACTGAGCCATATAGTGTATGACAGTTCCCTAAGAAGATAATGGCTTATGATGAGTTTAAAATACAGAGATCTCATAAGTCTTCCTAACTATTATAGAGAGAGTATTCTTAACTTTTCTTAGTTAGTTCAACTGTTAACTAGGCTAAGAAAGGGACGAGATGAAAGACAAGAGTAATAGCCTATTCGAGATTAAATATAGTAATTATTAAAAGTCAAGGGGTACTTATCGATTAATACTATGAGATTATGAGAAAGTACCCAGAGTTAGAAATGAGCAAGAAGGCAAGTTACTCCAAAATGTAAAGCACAACAAGGGTCAACATGTAATTTCTAAAAGTTTTAGGTCTTTAAGTGTTATTGGTTCTTGTTCGCGAATAGCTTTCTTCACCAATCCTTAGATGTGGTTCTCCTAATGCGAAAATGGTTTTAAAGTAATTTTTAAGGCTTAAAGTAGGTATTAAAGGTAAAATACCTCAAGGAAAATAAATTGAGTTAAAAAGCTTGTTTTGTCTTATAATTTTATATTGATCCAAAATTCTGCGGTTTAAAATTATTTAAAGGCCTCAAATAATTCAATAATTATTGGAAATAATTATTTGAAGATTAGAGTAAATTAATAGTTAAAGTTACTACTCCTCAAGGAAATTGAATTATAAGTTTACATTATCTTTGAGCCTATAAAAAGGAAATTCTTCCAAATTGATACAAAATTATTTGAGAGACGAAATGGACTCAAGAAATTAAAAGAAATTAGTATATGAAAGGAGGAAATATTTTGACGCATTAAATCAATTTTATTGGCCAAGGATTTCCCAGATAAATAACTATGAAATTTAAATTACATTAAGGTAAGGAAAATACTAGTATTTCTAGCCATAGACAGAAATTAACATAAGGCAATTCCATGGCCCGTTGACCAAAAAAAAAAATCCATGGCCCAATTTTGGAGGAGGAAGGGCGTGAGTTCGATCAGGAAAGGAATAACAAAATTTTATTTTAATTGGTCCTAAATTAAGAGAAGACTAATGGTGGAGACTTTTGGATGGCAAAAAATTATTAAATATAGTTAAATTGTCTACTTAACCTCACACTTCCTCCTTTCCTCAATATCATTTTCGGTTCTTTTTGCAGCAAGGGGGAGAGAGAGTGAAAGAGGAAGCTTGAGCTTCTGTGAAAAAATACAGAGAGAGATAGAGAGGGAAAATCTAGCAAAGTCACTATCTAAACCCCATTTCTACTTTAAATTGCTTTCACAAAAGTTGTTCCTCTCATCAAGATCAATATTTCTATGGTTTTAAATTTTCAAGAAGATGAGAGTATGAATTGGCAAAGATGGAGGAAGTAGTGAAGAAAGCAAGAACAAGTTAGTGCATAGAGAAGAAGTACGAAAGAGCTTCATTTTTAGCTATGTTTCATAATTTTTATTTGAGTTTCCTTAAGTTGTGAGAGGCTTCCCTATTTTTAAAAAATAACAAAGTTTCTTACTTTTATGATTAAATGATAGGAAAGGGCTTAAATGACCACAGAGATGTTACTTATTGATTATTGATGAATGACAGCTTGATTTCAAACTTGATGTAATTTTTGGATGCTCATTTTTGAAGAGGAAATGCTGGCCAATTTTTCATAGAATTAAGAATTGACTAGTTAAGTATTTAACCATATGAAATATGATTTATAAACAATCCTGGAGGTATGAAAAATGAGACAAGAACTCAAGGCAAGATTTAGGATTTAAGTACTCTAAACCTATAGCCATATTATGATTTGCTAGATGGAGTTGGAATTTATTAGATATGAGTTCAAAAAATGAATTCCTCATAGAGAATTGAGTGGAAAATGGTCAAGAGAATAATTCTAGAATTTAAGAATGTAAAAGGGAAATTTTAAGTCAAAAGAGCAAGTATATGTATTCTTGATATGTTAGTGGTTCCAATGGTCTCGAAGAGTTTTTTGTTTGATCTATGATGTTTACTTAGGACCATTGGATAGTACGGAAGTGGAATTGGAGGCTTTGACGATGAAGCTCTAAATATGGTAATAGAGGAAAACAAAAAAAAGGGAGAGAAGCTAAGTTAGAAAGTTTAGGGTAGCAAACTTTACTTTACTCTTATATGGTTGTTGCTTGCATGAATTGGCATGTTTGTTATGTTAGATGACTTCGTGAAATCATGCATTTATATAGGAGATTATGCTTGTGACATATCATAGGCCCATGTTTGTGTTTTTCAAATAATGCATTGATATATAGTTTAAACATGTCATTTATGTCATGAAAGTTTTAATATAGTTGCAAGCATGTTATAATGCCAAGCTTTGCCATGTATGTTTGAGTGGTGATTGTTTGCTACTGAGATTCTCCTAAATCTCACTCCCAATGACTCATCAAGATAGGTTATAAGCCTCCAAAGGAAGAGGTAAAGCACGAAGCAAAGGTAAGTGGAAGAGAGAATGAATTTCACATAACATTACTTTTATAGAATATGAAAATTGTATAAACTCATGAGCCATGCATGTAACTTCATGATGTGATCTTGACATGTATAATTGATGTGTGAAAATGCATAATGACCATTCTGGAGTCATGATAAGGTCTTGAAACCATAATCTCAATATGCATATTCAAGACTGTGTAGATTGGGCTCTTTTCATAGCAATATTATTGTTTCATTGTATAATTTAAATTAAACTATATTCACTGCCCCATGAGAATTTTTATAAGCAAACTAGACACATAAATTTTTCTAACAAATCCTAAAGTAGGTTATCTAGACATGTAAACCTTGAGTTATGACTTTTTCAAATTGTGGCACATTCTGTAAAAGAAGCAAAACAGTTTTGGAAAAATAAATAGACTGTACTGTTTGGAACCGAAGAGGGTTAAAAATGTTTTTTTTTCCAACATAAAGGACTTCAAGAGATTTTAATATAATTTTAAAGTATCCTCATATAAATTTTCTAGATTTAGCTATAATTTTTTAAAGTTAAGTAAAAATTCTAAACTTATCAAATAAATAATAACCCAATAATTAATTTATAAATTTTAATTTATAGGCTTCGTTTTTTATTTTCCTCAACCATATCATTTTCAATTGCATAGGATAAGCGTTACAAGTGAGGAAGTGACAAATACGCAACTTTATTGATGTCATCTAAGTCCTTGGCAAGTTAGAGAATAGTTCTGCCGACAAAGCACCCTGGTCAAAGCCCGAGAAGCTCACTGGTGAATAAAAGACATTTAACATCCTTTTTGAAATTAGTTCCGACATAACCGGTCTAAAATGTAAGAAGGTGACATTCTCATAATTATTTGAATATTTTTAGGACATTTTAGATTGGTTATTTATGCAACCGATTTAAATTATAAGTTTCACATGAGCTTTGAAAAACCCGATCTAGAAAGTTCAATAAATTAAAAATCAAAATACATATTATAATATATTAGATCAAAGTTTTAAAAAAAGTATAGTCAGCGAAACATGTATTAAAAGAATAAAATTTATAAAGGATGAAAAAATTTATTTTTGATATTAACAATAAAAATATCGTTTAGATCTTTAGCAAAACTAATATGGATATTCAAGCAAAATATTCTTGCAAAATATTTCTTTTTAATATGATCTAGGTCGGGTATATAAAAATTTAATCTAAAAAATCAATAGAATGATTAAAATATAAAATATAAAATTACTTTTTATAATTTTTAAATAAAAAATAAAAATGAATAGATTTTTTAGAAACCGATATGGCACTCCAGCCTAAATTTAGAGCCGGTAATTTGGGCCAAGCCCGACAGGCCAGCCCGAACCCGCCCGAAAAATTTAGGGTCAAGCCCGAAAAAAATATTATTTTTTATTGTTCGGGCCTATTCGGGCGGCCCGAATAGGCCCGAGGAAATTCAGGCCAAGCCCGATCGGGTTCGGGCTTGGCCCAAATACCCGAATAAAAAAATAATTTTTTTAAAAAATATATAAAATATGATAAATATTAATTAATTTTTTAAATTTTATATCATTTTATACCAAAATACTATATATATAAGTGTTTTAATGTAGTTATTTTTTAAAAAAAATTAAAATAGTTATATTTCATATTTTTATTATTTTTAATCAATAAAATATCTCAAAATAATATTTAAAATATATTTTAATATTAATTTTAATATTTTAAGACCCATTTTTTGTTAAAAAAAATTTGAGTCCTATAAATCATTTGCATGTAAAAAAATAATTTTATATTTTTAATAAATTAAGAGAATTAATTTTAAAGTAAAAATAAAATTGAAAATAATTTTAAAAATAAAATTTAGGCATGTATGAATTTCTGACTCTACTACTAGATAAACATAATAAATAAAATAATATTCTTGAATAATTACTTGGTTATTGTCCATGCAAGATTTGGTTAAAAATTAAGAGTAAACTAGAGTAAGAATCCCTTTTATACAAGAGTTAAACAATATAAAAAGTTAAAAAAATAATTTCAAAAAAAATAATATTTTACTCATAATTAAATAATTTTTTATATAATATAATGATGGCAATTTTTTTATATTCATAAAAATGAAAGGTATAATTTACCTAAAAGTTATTTAAAACTTTGAACTAATCAAAATAATAATTTTAAATTAGTAGTCTAACTGTGATTGAATTGGGATTAGCTTAATCATAATTAAAATAATATAATTTAATTAAAGTATATAAAATATTTATATATGACTATGATAAGAGCAATATTTAAATAACTATGACATTAATTTACAAGTAAAGGAAATATTCATGAATAAATTATACATAATACAATAAAATAATAACAGAGCTACTTAAATACAAAGTTGATAAATTATTTTTTATTTTATTCTTTTAAAATTAAGATAATATTTTACAATTAATAGAATTATTTAAAAATTAAAATTGGTTCAAAAAATACAGAAAAAATATTTTTAAAAAGTTTCGGGTATTCGGGCCAGCCCGAATAAGCCCGAAGCCCGAAGGTGTTAGGGCCGGGCTTGGCTATATGAGCTTTTTAAACCCGGCCCGAATAAGCCCGGCCTGCCCGAATTACCGGCTCTACCTAAATTAAAGAATTCATGATGGCACGCTTTTCATTCTTTTTTTCATAAGTGTGCGCTCCTTGTCCCTCACCTCACCTCCTCCTTCAATCTTCTTCCCGGTTGAACGACCTACTCCTTCAATCTTCTTTCCATTGGCTCTACCTTGCTAGGCTTGTGTAGTGTTGCTCTTCCCTTCTACCTCCAGACTCCATTGTGTGGCTCTATCTCTGCTTTCACAATCCATGGTGAGTTCTACTCCCTCTGCTCCCTTATTTATGAATGTTTGGAAGAATATTGAAATATATATATATATATATTCATATATGCTTGAGGAAGACTTACCTCAATAGTGGGAGTAGGTCTGATTTCCACCACAAACTTCAAATTCCCACTTAAGGTGAACAATGGAAAGCAAAAGCAAATTCCACTATTAGGTATTGGAACCATTTGCCTTTTTTCCTCTTAGTATAACATCCTGAAAAATTAACCCTATTTAAGCAAAGTTAAATAAGGTTAATAAGTAAATTAATTTGGTTGTGATTATAAAGAGCTAATAAATATTTTAAATTGTGATTTCAACCCTAAAATTGGGTTTAAAGTGGAATTAGACCACCCGAACCTTCAAAGGGAGAAGAATAAGAGAAAGCGCCTCTATATCACATGTTGAGATGCACAAACCACTAAAATGCAAAGTAGAGCTCTTTGTACTACACGCCACAATGCATGTCCCATGTGGCATAGCATGTGGTGATTTTCTAGTAGTAATAAGAGCGTTCTACAGTTAAAAAAAATAGAAGAGGAACAAAGAAGAACGAAGAGGAACACAAAATGCTCGGTTAGGGCATTGCAAATTTTTGAAGGATTAGGAGCAATTTGAAACTTGTAAACATTTAAGGTAAGTCTCCTAAGCCCTCCACTCCTTCCTCTTCCATTTTTATCGAAGTTGAGAGTTAGGGTTTGCTAGAGAAGTGAATTTTCAAACTTTTGAAACTATGGGTCCGAACCCATTGACTTTAACAAAGTTAATAAGAGTTGTTTAGGCATTTATGGCTTTATGAATTTTGGTAATTGTAGGGTAATAAATACCCAAAAAAAGGTATTTATAAAGGTTGTTAGGAGCGGTTAATGGTCATTAATTATGGTTAGATTATTTGTCAAGACCAATATGAGTTAAGGAAAGCTAATATCTGATATACCCTATGGGTAATAAATACCCAAAATTGGGTTTTGAGAGTTTGGAGGTGTTGACTTAGATATTGAAAATTATCCTAATGAGAATATTGATTATTGTTGATGTAATTAACTGTAGATTAATTATAATTCAGCACTATTCAAGCTTTGAATAGCTTTAGAAGTGTGTATTTAAAAGATAAATCTTTAACCTTTTAAATATTTGAGGTAACTAAGGGAATCTTTCTTATACTTTTGTATGTTAATTAATTAAAAAGTTTATAAGCATTTTTAAAATGTGTGAATTTGTTCACTATAGGTATGGTATGTGAAGTTTAAGTAGCCATGTGTTGATATTGGCTTGTCAAGTTGTCTAGGAATTGGCTTGTGAATGAAGCATGTGATATGTGATGAGTTAATATGGTACAATGAATAACTTATTGAAATGATGTGTGTGTGTGTGATGAATAATGAGAGAAATGTTAAATTAAGGAGTTCTATGATAATGTGAAAATGTGAGTATATGACATTATGGAGTTCTATGATACATTATGATGTGATAATGTTAATGATTATAAAATGATGTGAGTATGTAACATCCTATTTTTAATTGAGAATTTAATATAAAAAATTATAATTTTAATTAAAGAAAATTATAATGTTTAACTAATAATTAAATTGTATTTTGAGAAAAATTAAGGTGAATGAGTTTGGACACTCTTCTTATGTGAGGAAAGCCTAATATTAGTTTCACTAAGTAAAGAAGAGAAGGGTCAGATTAGGTCAAATTATATATGGTGTTAAGCTACAGGTATTCAAGATAGAAGTTGAGAAAATTGTTTTCACATCCACATAAAGTAGCCTTCATAAATTGACATTTACAAATTCGTTCGACATTGGATTAGGCTTACATTTGATCATAAGGTTCTTAATATCCAAATCATCCTTTTTAATGGTTGGATCATGAATTAGTTCCTTGATTAAAGAGTTATTAACTTCTTAATTTGTAATAAATGTTTTCACATCTTCATAAAAAAGTCTCAGTAAATTGATGTTTTTGAATTTGTTCACCGTTAGATCAGGCTTATATTTTGTAGTCATGTTTGTAAAATTCAATTAATCCTTTTCAACAGTTGGATCATTTATTAATTTCTTGGTTAGGGAGTTATTAACTTTTTCATTTGTAATAGTCATTTTCACATTGTCACAAAGTAGTCTCAATAAAGTTTTATTAGTGAATATTTTTACCATTGGATCTATCTAAAATTTGGCAGAAGGTTCATGGCATCGAAATTGATATTTTCGATGGTTAGATCTCTACTTAGTTTTCTTATGTAAAATTTATTAACTTTTTCCTTCATATGAGATATAACCTAACGCCTTAGACCTCATAAAGAATCCTTGTGGTTAAATAATGGACTATAGAAACTTAGAGTGAGTTTTGTTAGACTTTTAAGGGTCTACTAAATTTAATAAAGTTAATAGAAACTTTAAACTAATTAACAAAATGAGTTTAGGGTGTTATGTTAGGTCATAGGTAGCGTTGGGAATATATTTGTGCCAAGTAATGATAAAGTCTATGACGTTAATTATAGATTAATGTTTTGTGGCTATTGTGCAAGATTGGAGACATTGTGAAAGCGTGTTTTGAGTGACCTTTTGATTGACTCAAGGGGTGGAGGTAATCGGGAACTTAAATTCCCTAATACATTAACTCTAGTATTTATTGTGTATTTTTTTTTTACAAATGATGTTCTTGAGGAAAATGGTGTAAGCATGATATATATATATATATATATGAGAATGTGCGAAAGATGCATATGTGTGATTTATGTATGGCAAGCTTGAGCAATGAACTAGAATATTGAATATTATATATTATGAATTACTGTGGAATCATGAATTATTATGTAATTATGAATTATCGTGTAATTATGACCATAAATGTGATGTATATGTGTGACACATATGGATAAGAGTTCACCTTATGATCTGGGAGATCATATTTAAGTTCACATGGCATGAACAATATTTAGGTAGCAGCAAAAGTTGTATAGTTGTGGCACCAACTCCGACAGGGGTTAGGTGTGGTTCTAGCTTACCTAATAATACTCACTTTGGGAGTGGGTATGTGTATCGACAATTATATGAGACCCTGTAGGCAAGGGAGTCCATGATCCAAGTTTAAGGAGTGGTGACCTATGGCCAGTTTACCACTCAAATTTTGGGGAGCTCAAGCGAGTTAGGATATCTAGATTCAGTCTTGTTACTTAATAGCCCATAGACTTAGTTAGAAGGAATAAGGAGATTACAAGGTGGTAGATGATCATGCATGCATATTTATGTGAATATATGGTATTATAGGGAAATATGTAGTATTATATGTGTTTTTATGGTTTTGGGTGTGAGATTGTTATGCTTACATAACCTTAAATGCTATTTAAATATATGTTGGAAGTTAGAAATTCTTTCATTATTGATATGTTTATCTCACTCCTCATTGCTCATGTTTCTACAAGTGATGCTTCATAGGTGTAAAGGAAAAAGGAATCAGAGGCACATAATTAGTAATTGCTTGTAATGTCTTAGTATATATGTGCAAAGGATTTATATCATGTATATCTATTATATTGCCAACTAAGGCTGTCAGTGCATGTTAATTGTGAGTATGTGTTTTTATGAATTAAATTGGCTAACTTTTTAAGTATCAGCCTATAAGGACCATGATTAATTAGTTCAAAAAAAGATCAATTTATTATTATGTTTGTTAATGAGAAGTATAATGGGATCATACTAAAATGTGAGATAGGTGGCAGTGTTAGTAGGTTAGTTAATAAGCAAGAGCTTACTTGACATCAAAGCCCTGAGTTCTATGGCTTGGATAATATGACATGTAAATTGTGCATCATGCATCTAGAATGTTGGCTATATATATATTCTACACATGTTCCTTTTCCTTTGCTTAGGTATTTATCCAAGTTAGTCTTTAATTTCTTTTGTATTTGGTCCCATCCTTTAGGAGGGGAGAAAGGATATGAAATTAAGCATAGTATTTTTTTTTTTTTGAGCTTATGTTTAAAAAATCTCGCAAGTGGGGACAAATCAGGGAGATAAATTTAAGTTTTAATTAGAATATATGAAATTGGTGGAGGAAATAATTAGTTAAAAATAGAAATTGTGATGTTTTGTTAAACTTTATTCCTAGATGAGTATTGGAATTACCCTTATTTTTAGTTGGTATTTTTTTAGAACCCAAAGGTGACTATGTCATTATGGGAATGGGTAGGAATACTTACCAAATATTCCTTTTATTAAGAAAGACACTAGTGTAAAAAGAATTTTTTACCATAATTAAAACATATTTTTCACGACAAAAGACACGGTGTAGTAAAAGATTATGTAGTAGTAAACTAACATTTTTTGCCATAGGTCCTAGCTTTACCTGTGGTGAAAGATGTGAAGATTTATGGCAAAAGATGACATTTTTCACCACAAGCTGTAGCTTCACCTATTGCAAAAAATGCGAATAAAGACTCATTTATGGTGACAATTGTGGATACAACTGTCGCCATAGATGCATCTTTTACTATTGTTATTACAATAATTGTGGCCATAAATACTATAATTTTTGTTATAAAATTGCTTATAACTATATATATCCCTTACTTACAAACCTACATTAATATATATAAACAGCAACTCTAGAGACCAATACAAATATATCTAATACAAACATATCAACTAAAAATCTACATTTTCAAGACAAATATCTATAAAGTTTTTACTCTAACATTTTTAATTCTAAGAAATAACTAGACTAAAGGCTACATATATGTCTTAACTCTTACATAGAATATAGCTTTAAACTTTAAAAGTGCTGTAAATTTAATAACAATATGCATATGAATAATAACTCAAGCATATAGCAAGCTTCAAAATATAAATCAATATTAACAAATTAATACCTAATCAAATGAATGCATAGTACCTTGAGTGATAATTTTATACATGAAAATCATTACATAATAACCACACTCCACACTTCCTGATTGTTGAGGACACTATAAAGAAAATAAAAATAATTAAATTTATTAAAATAATATTATAATCTTCATTCTTTTGGTAAGCATATATCTTTTGGCACCTCAAATTTCTTGGACATAATATTTTTTTCACCTCATAGTAATTATTTGAAAGTGTATTACCCTCTAGAAGCATTTCTTTCAATAGTCTGAGTAGCTAACTTTGTGAAACTCTTATTGCTCCACCCATATCTTACTTTCAAGTTGAACAACTTCAACACCGTTGTTAGTTATGTATATTTTGTACACTTTGAATACAAAAGTGCTTCTGAATCATTGCATAAGTTATCATATTTATACACCTTCTCAGTGGCTTCAACGCCAATATGACGTAACATATCTTTTATCTAATCATCAAAATCCATATCATCATCCTCATCCCGTGGCATGCTACCTTTTTTAGATTCACCATGCAACACCCATTATCTATATGCTTTGTAGAATCTGAAACAAACTAGGTGATCCTTAATCTCTAAAAGATTTTATTGCAACCCATTCAAGCACTTAACACATGGACAATAAAATAATTCTTTATTATTAGGAATATTGTTCTTTGCAAATTCTAGAAATTAATCTACCCCTCTCTCATATTCATCACATATTCATAAAGCATCTATCTAATTATGATTCATCATTACCTATTTTAAGTACCAACAATTAATTTGTGATTTGAAATTTATAAAATTTTGGTAGCACAACAATTTATAAAGTGAAATTTCCTATGCACTAAATCAATTTCAATAAAATTGTTAATTATATTATTTTATTTAACCTTATTAAATTTAAACAAAATTCAACAAATCTCAAAAAATTAAAGTCTAAATAATAAATTAAAAAATAATATTTTGAAATTTAAAAAAATTTGGAAGCATAGCAATTTATAAATAGAAAATTTATGGGTACCAAACTCCTCAATTTGATCAATTTAAACACATCTAAAATGAATTGTCAATAATTATCAACTCTAATTAAAAATCAATTCAAACTATAACATATAATCATTAAACAATAATCTAATTTAAGATAATGGGTGTCCAAAAATTATCCCAACAAACAAACAAAAAAAATTGTAAGAAAAGAACATAAAAATAATTCTATGAAGCTAAAAGGGTAATTTAGAAGAAAAATAATTAGGAGAAAATTACCAATTGAGGCGAGCGGTGCAGGAGGTGGGCCAGCGGCAAATGAACTGGGGGCGGCAAGTTCAAGGAAGCGAGAGCTACGGGCACGGTGAGCTACCGGAGCGACGAATTGTGAGATATTGACAGTAAGGCGAGCTGTGGGCACATGAGAGAAGACAGCTGGTAACGGGATTGAGGTAACTGAGGGGAGAGCGGAGCTAAAGGGAGCGAGGAAGTTGAAGGGAGTGGCGGGAGAGAGAGACAGCTAAGATGAAATGAGAAAGGACAATGAAGGAAGCTGGGGGTGTGAGAGAGACCTAAGGGAAATGAGAGAGGGCAGGTGAATTCAAGAATGAGGAGCTTAAGGCGTGCATGGTAAAAGTGTAAAGTAATTGATTAATGGCGACAGGCACCACTCGCGCTTGTGGCGCTTGTTGCCACAAGTGTGTGAAAATTTCACACAAACTTACAACGACAAGCATGAGAGGCACCCGTCACCACAAGTGGTTCGAAATTCAGATATTTATTTGTCAAACTATTAATTAATTTTAATTTAATTTTTTATGTTTATTTAATAGTTTTATTAACCGATTTTAGTTAAATGTGTCTAAATTTAGGCACAATAAATGTGTCTCAGTTTAGACACATTAATATGTTTGAATTGAGACACATCTAATTAAAAATGATTAATATTTAAATAAATATTTATTTATTTTTTTCTTAATTAATTTGAATTAAATTTTTTGTTTTTATTTAATGGTTTATGAATTGAGATGCATTTATTGTGTTTAAATTTTGACACATTTAATTAAAATTGATTAACATTTTATTATTAATTAACTTTTTATCTATTATTTATTGTACAGCTTTTTTAAAATTTTAATGACCTGAGGGCAACGAAACTGAGGGAAATGAGAAAGGGCAGTGAGAGGCAAAAACGGGGAGCTGAGGGCACACAGAGTAAAAGGTATAAAATAAATTGATTAATGGTGACTGGCACGTGTGGCGGCTGTCACCATAAGTGTGTCTGAATTTCAGACACACTTAAATATTTATTTGTTTAAATATTAATTAATTCTAATTTAATTTCTTATTATTTAATTTTTATGTTTGTTTAATTGTTTTATTAATCAATGTTAATCAAATGTGTCTAAATTTAGACACAATAAATGTGTTTGAGTTTAGACACATTAATATGTCTGAATTGAGATACATTTAATTAAAATTGATTAATACTTAAATAAATATGTAATAAATATTTGTTTATTAATTTCAATTAAATTTTTTATTTTTTATTTAATTGTTTCTGAATTGAGACACATTTATTGTGTCTGAATTTAGACACATTTAATTAAAATTGATTAATATTTTATTATTAATTAATATTTTATCTATTATTTATTGTACAATTTTTTAAAAAAATTTTAATGACCTGAGGGCAATGAGGGGAGGTGGGGGCATGAGAAAGACTTGAGGAAATGAGAGAAGATAGCGGGAGGCGGGATTGAGGAGCTGAGGGCGCGCGGAGTAAAAGGTACAAAGTAAATTGATTAATGACCACACGCCCCTATTGCCAAAAGTGTGTTTGAATTTCAGACACAGCTAATTATTCATTTGTTAAATTATTAATTTATTCTGATTTACTTTTTTATGTTTATTTAATTGTGTTATTAATTAATTTTAATTAAACGTATCTAAATTTAGACACAATAAATGTGTCTCAGTTCAAACACATTAATATGTTGAATTGAGACACATTTAGTTAAAATTGATTATTATTTAAATAAATATGTAATAAATATTTATTTATTAATTTCTTAATTAATTTCAATTAAATTTTTTATTTAATTGTTTCTGAATTGAGACACATTTATTGTGTCTGAATTTGGACATGTTTAATTAAAATTGATTAACATTTTATTATTAATTAACTTTTTATCTATTATTTAATGTACTTTTTTTAAAAATTTTAATGATCTGAGGGTAGTGAGGGGAGCTGGGGGTGTGAGAGAGACCTAAGGGAAATGAGAAAGGGTAGTGAGAGGCAGGAATGAGGAGCTGAGGGCACGCAGAGTAAAAGGTATAAAGTAAATTGATTAATCAGGACCAGCACGTATGGCACTTGTAGCCATAAGTGTGTCTGAATTTCAGGCACAATTAATTATTTATTTTTTAAATTATTAATTAATTCTAATTTAATTTTATATGTTATTTAATTATTTTATTAATCAATTTTAATTAAATGTATCTAAATTTAGACACAATAAATGTGTCTCAGTTCAAACACATTAATAAGTTTGAATTGAGACACATTTAATTAAAATTAATTATTATTTAAATTTAAATAAATATGTAATAAATATTTTCATTAATTTCTTAATTAATTTCAATTAAATTTTTTATTTAATTGTTACTGAATCGAGATACATTTATTGTGTTTGAATTTTGACATATTTAATTAAACTTGATTGACATTTTATTATTAATTCACATTTTGTCTATTATTTATTGTTTAGTTTTTTTTTATGTTTTGTACTAATGAGAGGATTAGATTTGTAAAGTCACATAAGTCACTTTAATATTGTGAATTAATTGGTATCTCATTCTAAGTCAAATTACATTGAGGGTAGATGTTTTTCTTTGCTATTCCACTTTGGGACATGTAATTGCGACCAAGATTGTAGAAACTCTAGTTAACTTTGTGAGTTCAATAGCCTTGAATATATAATTCTGGTAGAATTAATCTTTTATAATTTTTAGTAAATTAATATTACACGTCATTCTGTTTAATGTCTTATAAAAGCTATTGAAGTTACCTAACATTACCTAGTCATAAAAAAAAGAGTATGGATTTAATTGAAATTAGTTGAAATTGAGTTAGAGCTATTTTTGTAGTATGGTAACCTAGCTATGTACAATTGAAAAGTTAAATCAAGGTTTTTTGTACTTGAAAATGAATATTTTGAATTAGAGTTTGACTTTGTAACAATGCATGTGCGATTTCACTCTGGGGTCTAAAAAAAATGATTCTTATATATTAAGACTAGATTTTAAAAACAAACTCTTATTTTCTGAATTGATGTTTGCATTGATCAGTAATAATTACTTAAGCTTAGATCTTAATGAGAGGAACTCAATAATTGTTTAACTTTGTGCGTTGTTTAAGTTGTTCAAGATTCATGGGGATTTCAAAGAAATATCTTTTGAATATAATCATGCTAAAAATTGGTGATGTCATGCTATAAGCACATAGGTTATGAAGTTAATATGGAACATAACTAATTTTTATTAGTTTGGGACAAATTCTCATGTCACAAACTGTTGTATTATAAAATGAATTTTTATTACCCTACCTACATAAACTCTATTTTGAATCCAAAGAGATTGTTTTCTAAGATAATCAAGCATCAAATTGGGATTTGTGATTGATTTTGGTTTCATATGTTGAGAAGGCTCAATTACTTAATCTACATGTCTAAGATGTAAGATAACTTCACATTGTATTTTGATCCTAAACTCTAAACCAAACTATTTGGCTTTTTGTGTGTGGTTTGTTGTGTTTTGGATTCAAAAAGTGGACAAAAGACCATATTTTAATTTTGCAGAGAGAAAACTTTGGTTTAGCTACTATGGTTGTACATTTTGTGGGTTGGTTAAGGAAGGGTGTTCTTATATTGATGCTCCTAAGAGAAGTGATTCCTTATCATTAAAACAAAATAAGCTAAATATGATGCCTTATATTTGATGATTATAAGTGTAAAACGACAAATAAAAAAAGCTCTAAATACTTGATAGTTGTTTCAAAAAAACCATCAAGTATTTAGTACATATTTAATAGTTATATTGACGTAACTGTCAAATATATCTGCATACTTAACGGTTATTTGTAAATAAGCATCAAATATATGATTTAAATAAAAGAATAAAAAAATTAATTACTTGATGTTTGTTTATTAATAACCGTCAAGTATTTCTGTATTCTATTTGATGGTTATTTAATAACAAGTGTCAAGTAAGGAATACTTGATGGTTATTATGAAATAACCGTCAAGTATTGCCTTTTAAATTTATACTCCAAAACCTTTCATTTTCACATTTCTACAACTCGAACGTTTTCGAAACACACCCAAAGTGCTTGAAAATCATTTTCCATCACTGAAATTGCCCAAAAACACAAATTTAGACTCGATTCTTCATGGGTTCCATTTTTTGGGGTTCATGGGTTGTTCATTCATCAAAGTTTTCATTTCAAGCATTTTGGCTTCATTCTCCATCTTCCATATGTAAGTGTAATTTCTCCTTCATCTATTTAATTCATTTTTGGGTTTAGTATTTAGGATAAATCTGAATTCAAATTTTTCTACTTGCTTTTCAATAGTGCAAAACGCAAGTTATCTTCTTTCCTAATTCCCCTACTCTTCTTCTTCATCCTCATGCTTTGCCTCTCTTAAGTAAGTCGGCCTATGCTTCTTCCTTGTGGTATTGTTGTCAATTGATTGTAATTAGGGAGTTTATTGGAATTAGCAATTGGAATATGAATTTTTTGTTCATTAGAGCTATGATTTGTGATTGAATATATATAGGCTTTGGTTTTTGGTTCTTTGTTAGTTATGAAATTAAATTTAAGATTATATAAAAATTAATTTACTATTGGGCATTATATAAATTTGTTGAAAATTTGTTTCTCTTGTTATGGTGATGGTGATTAATTTTGTTGTTGAATAACTTGATTAGATATGATTGAGTTATATTAAATTTATAGGACAAAATTTTTGTATTGTGTGACTGTGGATAATTGATTGGGTATAAGTATTATATGAGTAAATTGTGAATGATTTGAAATAAGAGATAAGAGAGGAAACCTGAAAAAACTCTTTTGTTTCAGCTACTATGTTGCTGAATTTTTTAGGATAAAATTTTTATATCAATTGTTGTTGGGTAACTTGATTGAGTATAATTAAGTTATATGAGAACTTGAATGATGAAACTTTTTGTTTAAGTTAATTAATTGTGTTCTTTTTATTTAAGTTGATTAATTTTGAATCAATTATGTGAATTTTGTTTTTTTAAATTTTTTTAAGTTGATTAATTGTGTTCTTTTTACTTAAGTTGATTAATGTTATGTGATTTTTGTTTAAGTTAATTAATGTTTGATTTAATGTCTTCCTTTACAGATAAATGGCTTCTGATAGTGAGTCTGTTTGATACCCCTCTATCAATTCTAGCTACGAATTCGACTGAGGTTCTGAGTACACAGAAAAGCTAGAGCAAGAGTACAATAACATTCAACAAGGCCTAACGATAATGAAAGAGGGGACAAAGACAAGAGCTGCAGAAAAAAAAATTGAT